ATTAATATTAATATTAATATTAATATTAATATTGTACAACAACAGAAAGAGACAATGTGCCTACATGACATTCCTATGAGACCATGGGCAAAAGTGGGAACAGATTTGTTTTCATTCAACAACAGAGCATATCTCATCACAGTTGACTATTTCTCCAACTTCTGGGAAGTTGACTGTCTCACAGACACTAGGTCAAGCACGGTGATACAGGTGCAGTGATACAGGTTAAAGGTCCATTTTGCATTACACTGGATCCCAGACACAGTGATTTTTGATAATGGGCCACAGTACAGTACACAAGAATTCAAACAGTTCAGCTCAGCTTGAGCATTCAAGCATGTGACATCATCTCAGCATATCCTTAAAGCAATGGCAAAGCTGAGCCTGTTTAGCCCCGCCCACCGATTCGTGCATGTAGAAGGTAAATAATGAGAGAGATAAGCAGGTTTAATCAGAAACCAAATGATAAAGATGGCTCCAAAAACACAAAGCTGTGCAGTGCCAAGTTGTGGAAAAACATCTCCAGGTTACGCATGTAACCATGGTTCCCCGAAGGGAACGAGATTCTTCGTCGAAACGCTACGGGAACGCCTCTAGCATGACCACGCCCCTGAATCACATGTGTAATCAGTCCAATGGATGGGCGAGACATCACGGGCGGGGTGACGTAGCGACCAGGAAGCATAAAAGCACGTGCGGTGAAACCGGCATCAGCTTCTAGGAGTGATGCAAGCACTGGCAGGGATGCCGGAAGTATGGCCCTGAGATGCAGCGTCTCGTTACATGCGTAACCTGGAGACGTTCCCCTTCAGGAACTCAAGCTGCGTCTAAACACTACGGGAACGAGAATGCCCACGCCGCCAGACTTGCAAATCCATGCCTAGTGTGGAAGAGCACAACTAAGGTGAGAGAAAAGGGAGCCAGGAGTGGCTAAAGTAGGCGGGGCCCGCCGTCCCGAAGGCCAACTTCTGGAGGAGTGAGCCTTGACCCCCAAAGGAGAGGGGAGATCAGAGGACTCAAGGCTATGGAATAGCATCCTGATCCACCACTTAGCATAAGCTTTTCTGGCCGGAGGCCTTGGCCTCAGCACACCGCAGAGGAAACGTGTAAGAAGAGGGTGTCTTCCCACTGAATGGCCACCGAGAGGGGCGTGGTAGGCCACAATGGCCGCCACGAAGACCTCTACCCCGGGCCTCGGCCCCTGCCTCGACAGGATGTCTGCCCCCACATATATAAAAGACCACTGCTGTGTTGTCGGTGTGCACCAACACATAGCGATCTCTTAGGCCTGGGAGGAAGTGTTTCAAAGCTAGAAACATGGCCAGCATCTCCAGTCAACTGATGTGCCACATGAGATGGCGGCCACTCCACAGGCCGTGGGCCGATTGGCCACTCATGACCACTCCCAACCGGTGAGAGATGCATCCGTCGCTAGCATATGTGGCGACCAGGAGCTCCCAGCACCGGGCCTTGAGATAATAACCAAGGTTTCCTTCACAAGTGTAAGGCACGTAGGCACCGTCGCGCGACCTTGAGCATGCAAAGCGGGTTTCCTCTCAGGGAGAACCACTTGGTCTTAAGCCACCACTGTAGGGGTCTCATGTACAGCAGGCCAAAAGTAACCACGTTGGACGCAGCTGCCATCAGACCCAGCAGTCTGGAACTGCTTGACAGTGAGTGACCGGCCTTCTCTAGGTCTGGGAGAAAGTGTTTCAATGCAAGAAACACGGCCAGCATCTCCAGGCAGTTGATGTGCCACGTGAGATGGCGACCCCTCCACAGACCGCGGGCTGAGCGGCCACTCATGACCGCTCCCCAACCGGTGAGGGATGCGTCCGTCGCTAGCGTTACGCGGCGACAAGGAGCTCCCAGCACCGGGCCTTGAGACAAGAACCAAGGTTTCCTCCACATGTCTAAGGCACGTAGGCACCGCCGTGTGACCTTGAGCATGCGAAGCGGGTTTCCCCTCGGGGAGAACCCCTTGGCCTTAAGCCACCATTGTAGGTACAGCAGTACTTATGTACAGCAGGCCAAAAGTAACCACGTTGGACGCAGCTGCCATCAGACCCAGCAGACCCAGCCTTCTCTCATGTCTAAGGCACGTAGGCACCGCCGTGTGACCTTGAGCATGCGAAGCGGGTTTCCCCTCGGGGAGAACCCCTTGGCCTTAAGCCACCACTGTAGGGGTCTCATGTACAGCAGTCTGGAACTGCTTGACAGTGAGTGACCGGCCTACTCTCACTCTCGACTCTCGATCCCGCCCAGCAGCCCCTGCTGACCGCCTCAACCTCCTTAGAGGAAGAGAGGTAAACACGTGCTCTTACTCGATAAATTTTTATCCCAAGAGCCCCTGTATATCTAACTTCTCATAGTCAGATAAATACTTTTACTCCTCAGAATTATGGAATCGCCACCGTGCCTCAGCAATAGCGGGACCGAACCGCAAGCTCGCAAGCACGGACACACTCCTCGGAACGTGCCCGGCGGGAACGGAGCATTCAGCGGGGAGAAGCACAATCAGCCCCTTATTTCCGAGAGTTGACTGCGCGAGCTCCCCTCCCCAGTAAATGCAGCTCATAATAATATAGACATAATGCTTGTGCGACTGTAAATCAGCTCCGCTCCACAGTAAAGCAGCTCATTATAATATTAGGCATAATATGCTTGTTTAACTGATGCTTGTGTAACTGGCGAGCTCATCGACACCCTCATCAACCTCCTAGGAGGAGGGGAAAGAACCGCAATACGGGCTTCCGAACCCCGAGAGCGGGCACTGGATCTGGTAGGTGAGGAAGAAGATAGGGAGTCGCCCGTCTACATTCCCTCCACCGGATCCATATGCCAACCCCACGAGCACAGCCACTGCTCCGCCTCGGCGAAAGTGGGGCCGGCACCACGAAAAACGCTGGTGAAGACTCCCTCCTCAAAGAGAGCCCTCGGAAAGCAAAGCATACGCAGTGACAAATGCTCGCAATGATAATGGACAGACAACACCAAATAAGACTGACACACACAGAGCGCTTGCTGAATGACAGAAAGCTGATGCCGGTTTCACCGCACGTGCTTTTATGCTTCCTGGTCGCTATGTCACCCCGCCCGTGACGTCTCGCCCATCCATTGGACTGATTACACATGTGATTCAGAGTGTGGTCACGCTGGAGGCATTCCTGTAGCGTTTCGACGCAGCTCGAGTTCCTGAAGGGGAACAGTCTTTGCATTGCCTTCCTTCTGATCCCAACATTAGGAAAGAACTCGTGGAGAACAAGTGGATGAGCTTTATTTTTAATGAAGTTCCAGACCACATCAGTAAATAAGAACTTGAGAACCAAAGAACTTGGTTCTTTGTTCACTTCATTTTACCACAGATTCATTTACAAGCAAGGCACAATTTGATTTTCAGAAAGATTAAAACTAAAAGACGATGCTGTGCCGACTATATTGGATCTGACAGTAAAATCGCACCACACAAGTTTGAGTAACTGATTTTATTCCGTGGTCACTATTGCTCTGTCTGTTATTACAGATTGTTTGATATGTACTGAGTATTTATGCATTTCATACTAGTGGGTGTTAAGTCTACAATCCGCCACGCCTATTCAAATGCAGCGTTCCGATGAGGGGGTCAGAAAAGTACAGAAAATAGCCTATTACTTCTAAATTATGATGTTTTTGTAAAAATTTTGATAACATTATAAGTGGACAGTACAAGAGAACAGTACAAAATACATAAAATAACAAAATACAAAAAAACAAAAACAGTTCACGACCCCTTTAAGTTAGTGGCACATCCACTCTGCTGCTCAAAACACTATAGTTTTCGTACATTCTTGCAAATACTTTCATAACATGTAAACACAATGTCAAGTGATGAGGATGGCACAAAAAATTATAGGAGACTGCACACACCCTTTGAATGATTATTTTAAGTGGATGCCCCTTGGGAGACGTTTAAGGTCAATTAGATTTTTCACAAATTGGTACAAATTTACTTTTGTGCCTGAAGCAATACGTTTATGTAATAAATTTAGTTGATTTATTATTTTATTATAATTTTTTTTGTCTTATGTATTTGGTGTATTTTGAGTATTTGTTTGTGTGTTAAGTGTTGTATATGTGAAGCACTACGAAAGTCTGAATTAATTGCCCCAAGGGGATTAATAAAGCTCTAAACTGAAACTAAACTGAATAAAAGTTCATTGCGCAGTGGGAGCAGGAAGTTTGCACTTTGTGTAATAATTTCCATATTGTTTGTATTTCATTTTTTTATATTGGTACCTATTGGTAAATATGATTTTAACTGTTGATTAGCCTAAGTACGTCTGCTCAGGGTCTGAGCAGACGTACGCACTTTTGCTTGCCCGAGTTTTGAAAATATAAGCTATTCTTGCCGCTTGTAAAAAATTTGGACATTGTCAGGTGCTCTTTTATAAGTCAATGACATTAAATAGACATCGTTTACAAGGCGGAGATCTGAAACTTTCAAGATCATTGCAATTTATAGATTTCACATCTAAAAGGGAGGCCTACGCACATTTTCTGTGCATACGTTCGTTCTATGAATCACACGTAGGCACTTTGAGAAATGATCGTAAAATCAAATTTAGGATGCTTTCTACGCAGTATTTTATAAATGAGGCCCCAAATATGCAGTTTGTTAATAAAGATGGCGCCAATTTGAAAATTTGCTTCAACATTTTCGGAGATGTGAGGTTCAGGGGGTCAGCGGCTGTTCGGTGCTCACAAACATGCCAAGAAATTTTTTATATAACTTTAATGCTTTATCAGAGTACTGCCTTTGTACTCTTTCCTGAATTTCTTAGTAACATTTTAATGGCTGTTGTTGTTTATTAAATATTATTGTTCAATATATAATATTTTATTATAAATAATAATAAACAGTATTTAATAGTATTTGGTAATGAGAAACAGTGTGTTAGTGATGGTGATTTTGGTTAGATGGTTACTCACGTTATCAAAAGTTACAACATGTTGTTGCATACCTAGAATACTTGAAGGTCCTGGCTTCCTCCCTTCCATGTCCTTCATTCCCTCCACATATCGGAAAGCAACCTCATGCAGTAGCTCCTCACCTGCTTTTCCTGCAAGGTAATGGCATCTCAAAATATTTGTTGCATTTCAGAAAAATCAGTATCATAATTCTGTTAACTGAAATTCAGTGTTGCCCAATCCAAACCCACCGACTGGATGGACCAACCTGTTGCTAGAGCCTCAGCGGTTGCCAAGTGAAGCACTGTGTCATCACTAACCGGCCAATCAGGAAGCTCCACAGAGATGTTTTTCAGCCCCCCTAGCTCTTGCAGTTCCTAGTATACAGTATTATAATAGATTAGGGTGATTTCTCACTTAAAAATGTGGTCTACAGTTTCCTACTGACTTAATGGGATAGTTCGCCCAAAAATGAAAATTCTGTCATTAATTACTCACCCTCATGTCGTTCCAAACCCGTAAGACCTTCATCTTCGGAACACAAACTAAGATATTTTTGATGCATTCTGACAGCTCTCTGACCCTCCCATAGACAGCAAGGGTCCTTACACGATCAAGGTCCAGAAACGTAGCAAGGAGATCGGTAAAATAATCCATGTGACATCAGGGGTTCAACCATAATTTTACGAAGCTTCGAGAATACTTTTTGTGCGCAAAAGAAAAAAACTTTATTCAACAATTCGTCTCCTCCGTGTCACCGTAGTGCCATTTTTGAGAATATGCACTGAACGCAAACAGCGTATGTTGTTCTGTGTCAGCCGCACCACATGGATACGTTGTTTTACGTTCAAATCAAAGCACAAACAATGTAGAAAATTTATCCGCATGGCGTCTTACGGGTTTGGAACGACATGAGGGTGAGTAATTAATGACAGAATTTTCATTTTTGGGTGAACTAACCCTTTAACCACATTAATAAATAACTGTAATGAACCACTATTGATGACGTCTGATTTGTGCAGACTGTGTGTGTGACATTTTAAGACTGTACTACTGCAGTCCAGTTTGGACCAATCAGACAAACCCCCTAACCAAAAGAAGCAAACTGTGTGTTAGAGTTTTGTGGACAACCCCCAAAGAGCAACTAACACCTCAAAAAGGCAGAACAGGCCTCTGGTTATCATGGCAAGCAATGACAAATCATCTGATAACACTGGTTTTATTGCTGAAAGGAATGTTGGCAGAGCAACTCTCACTTCATGTTGCCATAGGAAAGACACACACACTGCCCATAAAAAATGGACTCTTCTCTAATTAATTCATAGCCAAACCTTTCTATGAATGACTACGCCTATCCCCAGATCATTGTGTATATTATTACTGTTCCTGTATATTGTCTTTTGTATTGTATACTGTTTTATGCATGCTTATGATAGAACCACTCGTTCATGTAATTTTACCTATATGTAATCTTACCATGTTTAGTATCTATGAATTCGTCTTCTGATGATCTAAACGAGAGGGTATATTATATGTTGGTACATAGGCAATATATTAGTGTCCTGAGAATCTTTAGTAATTTAATATGCATATCCTCAGGTCATTGTGTGTATTATTACTGTTCCTGTATATTGTCTTTTGTATTGTATACTGTTTTATGCATGCGTTATGATAAAATAACTAATTAATATAACCTCACCTATATCATGTTTGGTCAAGTCAAGTCACCTTTATTTATATAATGCTTTATACAATACTGGTTGTGTCAAAGCAGCTTTACAGTGTCAAACAGAAAAATTGTTTGTCAATAATGCAAGAACACAGTGACAGAGTCATTTTTCCAGCTAAAGTCAGTTAATTGATGATTCAGTGTTGTCATCATCCAGTTCAGCTCTCTTCCAATAGTGTCTGTTCAATCAGTCTGAGAAAGCAGGCTCAGTTCTCCTCTGGCCAGATGAAACCAGCATGGCGTGGTTTAATTACAGGCTGCAACACAGGTGCAGAGGACTCGTCTGGTTCCCGTGGTCTTGTGCCGATGGTGGTCGAGGTGATGAGGTCTTCGCAGGGGATCTTTCTCTGGGGCACATCTAGTTGACATGGTCTCCGCTGACATTCAGGGCTGTAGAGGTTGTCTCTAGGTGCTGATCCACCATCTGGTCTGGATATGGACTGGATCTGGGTGGCTACGGTGACAATCTGATCTGGATACAGACTGGATCCGTATGGCTACAGTGACCTCGGAATAAGAATGAAAGAGACTAATATTAGCATAGATGCCAGTCTTCTTACGATGTAATAAGTACATTGGGTGCTATGGGAAGTGTTCCCGGTTCCGGTTGACCTAATTAATGCAGCCTAACAATCCTTTAACGGATTTGAAATTATAGAAATGCGATGGTGTATTTGGTATTTGGTTTGGTATCTATGGATTCGTATTTTGATCATCTAAATGAGAGTGTATATGTTGATACCTATGCAACATAATAGCGTTCTAAGAATCTTTAATAGTTTTTGTATCAGCACCCAATGCAGTTACATATGCAACATACCATGCTCGAAGACAAAGAGTTGTAAACTTTCCCTCCGAAAGTGTGTCACCATTGGCTTTTTGACGTCCCGGAGGGGTGACCTCCATAGAAGTTAAAAGGCCTCACATTAGTGACCCGCCTGGCTTTTTGACTCTGTCTCTTCTCTCATCCACTTCGCCTTCTGGTTGCCAAGTCCTGGGACTGGTGCTGCTTTGACTACAGCCATGTCTTCACTTTCCATCAGGGAGAAAACACTCCCGACCACCACCGAGTCAGAATAACATCCTTGGAGTTCATCACCCTTCAAACCTGGAAGAATCTGATAGTGAATTCAACACCACCAAACCATCAAACCATCAAGACTTTCATCCGAGACTGCATCCAGACGCTCGTTCAATGGCCAAGACAATGCAAGTATCATACATTTATAGGTGGACTAAGCGAATTTTGCAAAACGATGTTGATATTTGAAAGCACCAAAACAAACACGCCCATTCCCCAACAGGACCTCACCCCTATTTTGATAACTCCACCCCACATGTACGTACACAACTCTGGCAGCGACGATGGTGGAATCTGCTATGCCTGCCGGCCATGCATATTCAAGCAAAAGCCAACACAGATTAGTGGTGTGAAACAAAGCAAAATCAACATAACTCACCTATCAAGAAGAAAAAAGCAACCATGGCATCCAATTCAAGGCCTTCCCGCTCCTTGAGTTCTCTCCACCTCTGGAAAGCCGCTCCAATATTTACGTGCATCCTACCTCTTGCCTGTCACGAATGCCTACTGTGAGGAGCGAGGAATGCGGAGACGTGGGATAATTCCAATAGAACAGTCTTTATTAATCCAAACATAGGGCAGGCAGGAACACACGTAGCACATCACAACGTTCAAGACCCGACAAGGAAAGATGGGGCAGACTACACTTTAAATACTAAACTTATCAAGGGATAATTAACTAACACAGGTGAAATAAAATGAAGCAATAAGGCAAGGGAGAAAACTAGGTCATGGAGCACATTGGCAGAAAAACACACACAGACAGGTCCATAATCCTGACATATCGCCCCCCTCCCGGAAGGCGCATCCTCGTGCCATAGAAACAACAGAGGGAGGGACGGGTGGGACCTTGGGAGGAGGCTCGAGAGGAGGATGGACACCCGGGAGGAGGACGGCAAACAGAGTCCAGGGTGGAGACGACGGAGGAAGGAGCCAGGGAGGAAACAGGAGGGACTTGGAGCAGGCGGAGCCAGGCGGGACCCAGGCCGGGACCCAGGAGCCGACGGAGGGAGGAGCCATGGTGGAGGAAGGGCTGACGACTCCAGGGGGCCGACCGATGGCGTTGGAGCAGGTGGAGGAGGAGCCCGAGGCAGAGATGGAGAGTCGATGAGCCAGGGCGACGGGGAGGATCCGAAGGGCCAAGGCGGAACAGATGGCTCCGGCGACCAACGCGGAGGTGTGGATCCGGAAGGCCGCAGTGGAGCCGAAGCGACAGAGGACCGAGGAGGAGCCGAAGGGAAGGAGGAGCCCGCGGAGTCCCAAGGCAACGGATGGTCGATGACAGACCAAGGCAGAGCCGGAGGGACGAGGGAGCCCGGCGGAGCTGGTGGACTGACGGGCCACGGTGGAGAGGAGGGAGCTAGGAGGGAGCCACAATGACGATGGAGACTGGCAGACCCGTGGTGCTCGCATCGCACAGATGGTGGGCTGAGGGCGAGCAGAGGGGCTACCAGACGACAGCGGTGGAGGAGGCAGGAGCGGGAGGGGGGGCAGGGATTTCTGAGCCTCCGGATTGTCAGGGCTGCCCTTTGGAACAGAAGCCCTCTCCAGGCTGGATTCAGGAAAAGAAGCCCTCTCTGGGCTGGACAGGGAAACAGGAGCCCACTCTGGGCTGGATTTGGAAACAGGAGCTCTCTCTGGGCTGGACGGGGAAACAGGAGCCCTCTCTGGGCTGGACGTGGGGACAGGAGCCCTCTCTGGGCTGGACGTGGAAATAGGAGCCCTC